GGAAACGGCGGGGAGGGCGAGAGGCCCCGCCCACGCCCCCGTCCCAGGAGGGGCCGGACAGTGGCGGCCGGTCCTGAGTGGTGTTCCCCAGGGCTCGGTGTCGAGGCCGGTTCTCTTTAACGTCTTTATCAACGGCCTGGATGAGGGGATCGAGTCTCCCCTCAGTAAGTTCGCAGACAACGCCAAGGTGGGCGGGAGTGTTGATCTGCCTGAGGGTAGGAAGGCTCCACAGGGGGATCTGGACAGGCTGGAACAATGGGCTGAGGCCAATGGGATGAGGTTGAGTAGGGCCAAGTGCTGGGTCCCACACTTGGGTCACAACAACCCCCTGCAGTGCTACAGGCTGGGGATAGAGTGGCTGGAGCTGCCTGGCAGAAAAGGACCTGGGGGTGTTGGTCGACTGTCGGCTGAACATGAGCCAGCAGTGTGCCCAGGTGGCCAAGAAGGCCAAGAGCATCCTGGCCTGTATCAGGAACAGCGTGGTGAGTAGAACCAGAGAGGTGATCATCCCCTGTACTCAGCACTGGTGAGGTGCCACCTGGAGTACTGTGTCCAGTTTTGGGCCCATTCCCACAAAAAAAGATATTGAGGTGCTGCAGTGGGTCCAGAGAAGGGCAACGAAGCTGGTGAGGGGTCTGGAGAGTAAGTCTTATGAGGAGAGGCTGAGGGAGCTGGGGTTGTTCAGTCTGGAGAAGAGGAGGCTGAGGGGAGACCTTATCGCTCCCTACAACTACCTGAAAGGAGGCTGTAGAGAGATGGGGGTTGGTCTCTTCTCCCAAGCAACAAGTGATAGGGCAAGAGGAGATGGCCTCAAGTTGTGCCAGGGGAGGTTTAGGATTGATATCGGGAAAAAATTCACAGAAAGCTGCCCTGGGAAATGGTTGAATCACCATCCCTGGAGGTACTTAAAAGATGGGTAGACGTGGTGCTTAAGGACGTGGTTTAGTGGTGGTTTTGTCAGTGTTAGGTTAATGGATGAACTTGATGATCTTAAACATCCCATCCAATCGAGAGGACTCTATGATTCTAGATGATTCTGTGATTCTACACCTTCTCCCTCACAGCCTGAGGGCTGGCAGGCAGAGGCTTCCATTTAAGCCAGTCCCATCGCAGGCCGGGAGGGGACTGTTTCCGTTTTGCAGGGGTCTGTGGCAGATGCTCGGGTGGCCATGGCTGAGTGGTGCCCACCACTGCCCCATTGCCACCATCCCCTGGCAGGAAGCAGCATCACTGCCAAAAGCTTTGTCTTGAGGAGGTCACAGCTTTTATTAGGCATGATGAGTTTGAACCTAAGGGCAGAAATGCAGGGCCATGGAGGTGATTAATGGGTTTGAACATCTGAAAGGCCAAAAGCTGGGGCTGTTCAGCCCAGAAAAGGGAAGGCTTGGTGGGGGGGGGATCTTAATCCACGTACATAGATGCTTCATGAAGGGAGTAGAGAGGATGGAGCTGGGCTCTTCTCAGTGGTGCCAACTGACAGGGCTTGAGGCAAAGGGCACAAACTGTGGCCAGCAGGTCGCAGGAGGTGATTCTGCCCCTCTACTCTGCGCTGGTGAGACCCCATCTGGAGTACTGTGTCCAGCTTTGGAGTCCTCAATACAGGAAGGACACGGACCTGTTGGAACAGGTCCAGCGGAGGGCCCATGAAGGTGGTCAGAGTGATGGAGCACCTCTCCTATGAGGACATGCTGAGGGAGCTGGGATTCAGCCTGGAGAAGAGAAGGCTCTGGTGAGACCTCATAGCAGCCTTCCAATATCTGAAGGGAGCCTACAGGAGAGCCGGAGAGGGACTCTTTGTCAGGAAGTGTAGTGACAGGACAAGGGGTAACGGTTTTAAACTGAAAGAGGGGAGATTTAGATTAAATATTGGGAAGAAATTCTTTACAGTGAGGGTGGTGAGGCACTGGAACAGGTTGCCCAGAGAAGCTGTGGATGCCCCATCCCTGGAAGTGTTCAAGGCTGGATGGGGCTTTGAGCAACCTGGTCTGGTGGGAAGTGTCCCTGCCCATGGCAGGGGGGTTGGAACTCGATGATCTTTAAGGTCCTTTCCAACCTGAACCATTCTATGATTCTATGAAACATGGGAAATTTCATTTAAACTTAAAAAATTCGTTTAGCGTGCAGATGGCCAAACATAGGAGCGGGTTGTCCTGAACAATCACAGTCTACATCCATGGAGGTGTTAAAAACCAGACTGGACAGTGCTCTGAGCATCCAAGTAGCTGGCCCAGCCCTGAGCAGGGAGCTGGACTAGACCCTTTCCAGAGGTGCCTGCCAGCCTCTGCCATTCTGTGGAACTTTGGCCCTCCATGCTGGGCATGGGCAGAGCCGGAGTCCTCTCTTAACAGCCATCCTCCCCAATGTATAATATGGTCCTGTCAAATAGGTTTTATACCTACAGATCACACCAAGGAGCCACAGTCACAAAATAAGATCCACACTTCTGCATATTTTCATACACATGTACATAAGTACAGAAACTTAGCTTTACCAAGACAAGAATGGGTTGATGGCCAGTATCCCAGAGATTTAGGAGACAAATATTGTATGTTATCAAAAGTATTAAAGTACACATATCAATTGTAAATCTCAGAGATATGAAACAAATATTAAAAACATACTAACATCTATGCCCCAAAACAGAGCAGAACTAACCAAGGCCAACATATGCAAAGCAGCTGAGTTGATGTAAGGCTGAAAAAAATAATTTCCTGAAATTTGAGCATATACATTCATTACTCTGAGATTACAGTAATCTAAATTTGTTTTATTTTAATTTTCCTGATTTTTTTCTCTACTTGAAGTAGGGCAAGATCTAAGTGCCAAAGACCACACCACACCATGTGTTTTGAAGAAGTCCCCGCTGAAATCACTTGCTTTCAAAGTGATTGCAATTTGCCATAGCACATGCCTGGATTGCAACATTCACTGATGGGTCTTGTAAAACCCTCCTCGGTACTTGTGTTAGCAAAGAGAGAAAGAGACTCCCGACTGTTCCTCTGTAATCTGTACAAGAGCACTGTGAGAGCAGAACAGAGCTGGTTGCTGTGTTTGAAACCTTCCTAGAAGGAAAGCCTTCCATATGGAGAAAAGGTTCTCCATAAATAACAACATCAATTTGGCCTCCAGTCCTAAAAATGACAATGATTCGCAGGCTGTTGTGCATCGCTGAGCTTAACAAAGCTCTGGAAAAGCCAGGAATCCAACCCTGCAAGCCTCCAGATGCAGTGTGTGTCAGGGTCAAGTCTAGAGGCATAACCCGCAGTTGTTCCAGGCATCCTATTTCCTCCCTGACTGTGGTGTGTGATGGAAATGTTATAGCAAACGTTGCTGTACATTTCCAAAACTGACTTATTAAGCTCACATTTTTCAAAGCACCGATCCATCCTTATTTAGGCACCTGGTAAGCAAGCTAGTTTTCAGAGGTGCTGAGTGCTCCTAACATCAGTTGAAAGGAATGGACGCTCCAGCTGTTCATTTCTTTTGATTTATGAGCATCTCACACAATCTCTAGATGCCTATTGGCTCTGGGATCTATAATGTCCTTTCCCAGGAACTTTCGGATGGAAATGTTTTTCTCAGATACTTCAAAATGCCCCAAACAGAAATTCTCAAATGGGCCGAAATAAGGCTCTAGAGGGACATCAATTCTGAAATAAAAATAATGCAGTAATTTACACATGTTAAATATTTAAAACTTTCTGTTGCTACTCATGCACATTTGCGATATACTATCTGTCTTTATAAACAGAGGATATACTATATCATTATAAACAAAAGATACACTAATTAGGGATTTCTGTCAGGAGCTGATGATACTAAAATCTTATTTGCTTAAGAATTAAATACTTTCCTTCCAGGCTTGCCAACGCTTTTAAGCCTCAGTGATATCTCCCAGAAAGAAAACGCTGAAGTTTAAAACACTGGACTGATCTGAACTGCTGTGGTGATATCATTGTAAATACTCCAATCTTAATTTTACACACATGGGTATTCTCATTTGGATCCGTATGACTCATCACGTCCAGGAAGCTAAATGTGTGCAATATGGGACTGCATCCTATCTGAGGACAATCGTTTTACACGTTTCAGAGCCGTTTTGACGTGCCTTCAGACTTCACCTGCACGCTCTCCAGTCATTCCTTTCTGCCAGGGCTGCTTCTCATAATCCCAATGGCTGCGCAAATACAAACACCCCTTTTTGCCAAACAGAAATTACTTGCTTCCTGCTGCCAAAGAAACGTTACCGTTGTCCACCTTCAGCTGCGGAATTCACCCCTTCCTCCTCCCCTGCGCCAGCTTTCAGTGAAGCAACATCTAAATCCTACTTGGAGCAAGAAACAAAATAATGTTTAGAAAGAAGTGTGATTCGCTGTGAAGTCAAAGCTGTCATTTAAAAGACAAAAAATGGTTCCACTTATGATTATGTTTCATTTTACACTGTTTAAACAAACAAATTATATTTATGGGCCAAGTTTATCTTTTTTATGCTTCAGTGGTTCAAACATTTACATGCATAACTTTAAATCCATTGATCTGCATGTTTAAGGGTCAGCTGTATGTATGCAAGTGTTACATTTCATCCCACTAAAAGCCCTATTGATACATGTAACTTTAGCTGATGGACCAGGATAATTATGGTGCATTTTAAGTTACCTAGTTTGAAATACTGTTCTCTGTTCATCACGGGTCAAATTATTGCTTTGTTTGGTTTTATTCAAAACAAAATATGTGCAGCATTGAAACAAACCGAAAATATTTTATTCAGTCTCTTTTTTTCCTTACTTTTCTTCCTATTAGACAGGAATCACACCCCTTTGTCCTTATGACTAATGGTGGATGCACACAAAAAAAGGAAAAATAACAGATAAATAGGAAAACTGAAAAGCCTAATAAAACTGTGTAAGGAAACATGAATCATGCTTCATT